GTCAGGGATCCCGGCCCGGGTAGCACCGCGATCGCGGCGGCTTCACTGGAAACCCACCGGCTCTAAACGCGGAACCCATCGCCGAGCCCCGACACCACCGCGGGCACGGCGAGCGGGGGCAGACCCTGAGCGCACCCACAGCCCGGGCCCCGGAGGAACCGGGACCGCGATGGCGCCGTCCGGGTGTGGGGGGACCAGCGGCCACGGGGCACCGGCTGGCACCGGCCCACGGGAGGAGCCCTCCGGCCGTCGGGGGTGCGGCGGCTCCGCTCCCGGGGGGCTCCATCCGGGGGGCTCCATCCGGGGGTCCCTCCATCCCGGCTCCCTCTATCCCTGTCTCTCCATCCCTCTCCTCTATCCCGGTCCCTCCATCCCGGTCCCTCCATCCCTCTGTCCCGGGTCCCTCCATCCCTGTCCCTGTATCCCGGTCCCTCCATGCCGGGGTCCCTCCATCCCTCTCCTCTATCCCTGTCCCTCTATCCCTGTCCCTCTATCCCTGTCCCTGTATCCCTGTCTCTCTATCCCGGTCCTTCCATCCCGGCGGTCCCTCTATCCCTGTCCCTCCATCCCGGTCCCTCTATCCCGGGGTTCCATCTATCCCGGTCCCTCTATCCCGGGTGTTCTATCCCTGTCTCTCCATCCCTCTCCTCCATCCCTCTCCTCCATCCCGGTCTCTCTATCCCGGTCCCTCCATCCCGGTCCCTCTATCCGGGGGTCCCTCCATCCCTGTCCCTGTATCCCGGGGTTCCATCTATCCCGGTCTCTCCATCCCTCTCCTCTATCCCGGTCCCTCCATCCCGGCGGTCTCTCTATCCCGGTTCCTCCATCCCTGTCCCTCCATCCCGGGGTTCCATCTATCCCTGTCCCTCCATCCCTCCCCTCTATCCCGGTCCCTCCATCCCTCGTGTTCCATCCCGGTCCCTCCATCCCTCTCCTCCATCCCTCTCCTCCATCCCGGTCCCTCCCGTCACGAGTGACTGCGCCCGTCCCGGCCCGCGGCGCGCTCGGCCACGCCCCCTCGCTCCTTATTGGCTCGGAGTCCACCAATGGGCAGCGCCGGCGGCGGGCGGCCAATGCGGCGCGCGGGCAGGTGAACTTTGCGATTGGCCGTGGCGGTGATTGACAGGCCGGCCCCGCCCCCGCCGCTGTCCGCCCGCGCGG